TTAGTAGGCACTCAGTAAGTACTAGCTAAATAGAAAAAACAATAATGTGGCAGCCCTGGGATTTAAAGCCTGGCTTTCTGAGCTCTGAAGTCTATTATTCTTTTTTGCTACCAGACTTTAAAACAGAACACCCTTTCTGGTTGACTACACTAAAAAAAACTTTCCGGCCAAAAAACAAACTAAAGAGAAGAAAAGTAGCATTCAATAGGTATAGTCACAACATCTTGGAACTACCTACCGCTAGACACAGAGTAACCAATGTAAACAAATAAGATCAGTGATTTAAAAAAAAAAAAGTGACATTGCATGAAAACTAATTCCAAGGTGAATAGTTAACCATAAATATTTGTCAAAAGAGAAATGAAGGGACTTCCCTGGTGGTGCAGTGGTTAAGAATCCACCTGCCAATGTTGGGGACACGGATTTGAGCCCTGGTCCGGGAAGATCCCACATGCCGTGGAGCACCTAAGCCCGTGCACCACAACTACTGAGCCTGCGCTCTAGAGCCCGCAAGCTGCAACTAGAGAAAGCCTGCACACAGTAATGAAGACCCAACGCAGCCAAAAATAAAATGAATGAATGAATGAATTTTATTTGAAAAAAAGAGAGAAATGAAAATTTTCACTGTAAGGTAAAATGTTTCAAGATCCCATAAAAATGAAAAAATCTTGATTCTTCACTGATTACCTATAAATTTATGTTTTTATAAATTTATATTCTAGATATAAACTTCATTTAATCATGCTAGAGAAAAAGTTTTGGTTAAAAAAAGGTCTTTCTATCCAACACATATACGTTTTCAAATCTGTTCTTTCTCCTCTCCCGCTATAAAAAAAAAAAACTTGGATTGGAGAAGCCTAAAGATTACTGCCACCAAAGCCAGTTCTTCCGGACCCAGAGGTTGATAGGTATTACTTCTGGTTGATATTCTGTTATTTTCTTTCTCCGTCCCACCACACAGAAAATATTAATCACAACTAGATTTAGGAGACATTACGACAGATGATAATATAAAGCCCAGGAGTCAAATCACCAATTACTAAGTGCCCTCACCACACTGCTCTCTCTGATTATGGAAACACATCAACTGTCCCATTTCTAAAGGCTGATATGGGTGGAAATTAACGTTATGATGGTAACAAATATCATTCTTCCTTATTAAACATCTTCTTAAATGCTTACTCCAGGAGCACCTGCAAACATGGCACAGACTTGTCTTTTTTTTTTTTTTTTCCTTGCGGTACACGGCCCTCTCACTGCCGCGGCCTCTCCCGTCGCGGAGCACAGGCTCCGGACGCGCAGGCTCAGCGGCCATGGCCCACAGGCCCAGCTGCTCCACGGCACACGGGATCCTCCCGGACCGGGGCACGAACCCGCGCCCACTGCATCGGCAGGCGGACTCCCAACCACTGCGCCACCAGGGAAGCCCCAGACTTGTCTTTTTAACTCAAGTGTGCAATAAGTACCTTGCTCACCATCTAAAGGCAGCCTTTTATTTCGATCACTTGGTCAACAGAGCAGACCATCCTCCCTGTACGTGGCACAACACAGACAAATCCTAGCAGGAGGTGAAAGCACATAATACAGTTACAGCTGGTCTTCCTTCGACTTCTATTAACGCCCTCCCATCACAGAAACTCTGTGAGGAAAATTCTCTGAAGGAACAACAATTTCACACAGCCTGTAAATCAACTGTGCAATACAATTCTAAACATCCTCCTAAAAATAGGTTCCCAAGTCAATGAATTTAAACACCTTCATATTTTTTTTTACACTTCAGAATTGTTTTTTCTTTGTGTAAACCAATATATTTTTTAAAATAAATTTATTTATTTTTGGCTGTGTTGGGTGTTCATTGCTGCGCAAGGGCTTTCTCTAGTTGCAGCAGGGGCTACTCTTCATTGTGGTGCATGGGTTTCTCATTGTGGTGGCTTCTCTTGTTGCAGAACACAGGCTCTAAATGCGCGGGCTTCAGTAGTTGTAGCACACGGGTTCGGTAGTTGTCGCTCGCAGGCTCTAGAGTGCAGGCTCAGTAGTTGTGGCTCACAGGCTTAGTTGCTCCGTGGCATGTGGGATCTTCCCAGACCATGGCTCGAACCCATGTCCCCTGCATTGGCAGGTAGATTCTTAACCACTGCGCCACCATGGAAGCCTCTAATTCATTTCTTTACTTGACTGTAACTCACTAAGTTTCAGAAGGTTTCTGATTTTGTAGCAGTTCAACAATTATATTCAGAAATAGATCTCTCCAAATGCCAATTATAAATAATATTGGTTTCCTTCTCCACATTTTCTTCAAAATTTTCAGTTCTCCTGTACATAATTTTTATATATAAAGTGTCAGTTATGATAGATGTCATATAGCTACCACAGATGAAAATGCTCTATAAAATGATGCTGACAAAGAACAATCTTATACTTTAGTAATAATACCAAATGCTGAAGATATAATTAAACTACAACCCCGAAATGTTGCTATTGTTAGTGCAATTCTACTTCTGGAAACTTTTCACAATATACTGAACTTAAATTTAAAAAGCCCTGTATAAGCATTATTGTATGATGTAAATTTCCTAAAAATTAGAAAACTACTTATATCCAACAATTAATAACAGTTAAGTAACTTACGGTATACCCTTCAGCAGAAAGTTAACACAGGACTTAAAATGGATAAAGAGCTCATGGAATAAAATCTCGTGGAAAAATAAGGACACAAAATAGTTTTGAGATTACAATTAAGTAAAATATGCAGAGGTTAAAAGTCTGAAGGGGATAATTATTGTGTTAGGGTGAGAGGATTATGAATTTTCTTTCTATTCACTTTTTCAAACATGTATTGTTTCTCCAATTATAAAGAAGCTAAATAAATATAAAGAATTTTAAGGGTAATAAAATGAGACAAAGAGACAAAACAGAAAGGATGCTAGATTAAATGGGGAAAAAAATGTTTATTTGCCATACGCACGAGTTTATGTCATTCCTGAATATAGTGTTCCGTATCACCAGCGCTGGGCATCCTCTCTCCCACCATCTTGAGAATCCACCCAATATACTCACATACACTAAGCTCTGCACAACACACAGTCGAGTTCAGGGAAATGTTACCATAATGTACACAGAGAAGAGACTTTTGCCATGCTACAGAAATTCTACTATTCTGGGAACTTAATTCCTTGAGATGAACTCAAAGATGAATTCTAAGCTTTTACCACACTTTATCTCTAAAACAGAATTCTAACTAGTTTTCTATTTCCCTAACACAGCAGGATTATGTTTATGGAGAAAGTTAGTCTGACATGAAAAGATAACTCAGGAGTCCATACTCAGTCCATTCCTTAAACCCAGAGAAATCAAAATGTAAACAGACAAGTGGTGAAAACAAACTAAAGTTCCCAAACATTCAGGTCCTGTTTGTTTAACATGAGAATGTTTGTTCAAAGATTATTAAATTTGCCAGTGGGGCAAGGACTTCACAGCAGAAAACAAGTTCACTACACTGAGAATACAGTATAAGAACCTATCAATTGGGCTTCCCTGGTGGCGCAGTGGTTGAGAGTCTGCCTGCTAATGCAGCAGACACGGGTTTGAGCCCTGGTCTGGGAGGATCACACATGCCGTGGAGCAACTAGGCCCGTGAGCCACAACTACTGAGCCTGCACGTCTGGAGCCTATGCTCCGCAACAACAGAGGCCGCAATAGTGAGAGGCCTGTGCACCGCGATGAAGAGTGGCTCCCGCTTGCCACAACTAGAGAAAGCCCTCGCACAGAAACAATGGCTCCCGCTTGCCACAACTAGAGAAAGCCCTCGCACAGAAACAAAGACCTAACACAGCAAAAATTAATTAATTAATTAACTCCTACCCCCAACATCTTCTAAAACAAAAAAAAATACAGCAAACCTTCCAAAGGTAATTATAATTATATATAAAAAAAGAACCTATCAATAGTACATCAAATAAGGAAAAAACTCCAATAAGTCTCAATCCAGATGCCAATTTTTCATACAATTTTTTCTATGAGCATACAATATTTTTATATATATTTTTAAATTAATAGAGCCTCTTTAAAAGAAGATCATTACTAACCACAGTGAGTACAGCTGTAACGGAATGGTGGGAAGGATGAAACACCACCATTTGGTCAACAAGTACTGTCTGAATGCTAACTCCCTCTGGGCATTTGTGAACAGTGATGTCCACAAAGAATAAGAAAGGTATTATAGGAAGTAGTCATCTCCTGACTTCACAGAACTTACTGCCCAACAGGGAAAGAAGCACACTAACACAACAGAAGTACAAAAGGAAGCTTCTTTCATTCAGTCAGTCACCACACACTGATTGAAAGGATGCCTACTGTATTTCAGGCACCTTGGGAAAGGCTGGAGAAACGCAGTGGGTGTTTAAAAAAGGACTGAAAAGCTGTCAGCGTGGAGCTAATAATTCAAAAAGAGAGGTGGGCTGTATTCAAAAAACCACGTAAGTTAACCCCAAAAATACAACTCTGTGAAATGCTGAGAGATCAAATGAAAGGTAACTGCATAGTAAGTGAAAGGAACCCAGAGACAGGATTATCGAGGCCTGCGCAGAGTAGTCAGGGCGGGCTGAGAGAAGGGGTAATGGTGAAGCCACGTCTTGGGGGGATGAGTAAGATGGAAGTGGGACATTCCAAAAAAGACACCTATATAGTATGATATGGCAAGAGATAGTGCTGGACACACAGACAAAGACCAGGTTACAATTAATGACCTTAAATTCCATACTATGGCTTTCTATTGTGTAACTTTTTCTTTTTAAATGAGAGAACCTAGAACATGTTTTCGCACTAGGTTCAGACGTTACACAGACATAACAAAGTTTCCGTGGCAATAGGGAAAGTATGTTAAGGACAGCCAGAAGTGTAACCTAGCTTGTAAACAACCTAGAAATAGAAAATAAAATGTGGAGCCATGACAAGTTTTAACAATGTAGGACTGTCTTGTTTCCTACCAGGTACAAGCTTACCCCTATGATGCTCAGCCCTTTAAGGTAGTCCTGACGAGGCTGGGCTTGAGGAACACATCCAGCAAGCACTATTTTCTTGTTCTCCTCTTGAGCTTTTCTAAAAGATTGAAGAGAAAACAGTGTTAATTCTTTTCCTCACAAGCGTACCCCTGGAAACTGATGTTAGTGCACCTAAGTTCCCTAAAACATAACATGACCATCTAGCATCAAACAGGATTTTCTTACAACTGCTTCAAAAAAATGCATTATAATAAGACTTCTGAACTATGTGTCTATTTAACACACCATAAACAACACAATGGAAGTCCAATCTGATCATGTCTTTCATTACATCCTCATTATAAAACAAAAAATTTTACTTATATAGAATATTCAAGGATATAAATCGTTCTTGAAAACCACATATTCCAGATATACATTAGCCATTCAATTATTTTAAATCATTCATTATTTTAAATATTAGTATTAAAACATACTATATGAGTTCCCAGTCTTTTGTCTAGTATAAAAGTAAAATATACATTGAAAAAATTGAACACAAAAGTAAGAAACAGAAGGTATAATACTCCCTCTATCCTGAGAATTCACACATCTCCTCACTTCTTTTCCTCAGAGACTGTCTACAACTTATAGATTATTTATGCTTATGTCCAGACAATCCCTCTCATATGCAGGTATGATGTGTAACTAGACCTCTGTTCACTATAAATACACAAAGATGAAACAATATTTTGTTTTACAACTTCCATCCAATACACCTTGTGTATCTTTCCTTTTGTTTCTTTAAAGATCAGCCTCACCCCTTTTTTTTGTATTTTATTTTTTTAATTGAAGTTTAATTGAAGTATTATTGAAGTTACAGGTGTACAACACAGCGATTCACAATTTTTAAAGGTTATACACCATTTATAGTTATTATAAAATATTGGCTATATTCCCCATGTTATACAATATATCCCCACAGCTTATAGCTTATTTACTTTATACATAGTAGTTTGTACCTCTTAATCCCTTACCCCTATCTTGCCCAAACCCCTTCCTTCTCTCCACTGGTAACCACTTGTTTGTTTTATGTACCTGTTATTTTTTGTTAAATTCACTAGTTTGTTTTATTTTTTAGATTCCACATATAAGTGATATTATACAGTATTTGTCTTTCTCTGACTTATTTCACTTAGCATAATACCTTCCATGTCCATCCCTATTGTTACAAATGGCACAAATTTGTTCTTTTTTTATGGCTCAGTAGTATTCCACTGTGTGTATGTGTGTGTCTCTATACACCACATCTTCTTTATCCATTCATCTGCTGAGGGACACTTAGGTTGCTTCCTTATATTGGCAATTGTAAACAATGCTGCTAAGAACATTGGGGATGCACATATCTCTTTGAATTAGTATTTATATATCCTGGATATATACCCAGTAGTGGAACCTCATCCTTTTTAAACATTACAATGTAGGTATACTACAGCTTAACTATTTGTGTTCTGATAGGCATTTAGGTTATTTCCAATTTTTCACTATTACAAAGTTTTTCACAATACACATGCATATAGACATATGCACACACCTACACATACAAATACATGTGGATGGATAGATAATCTTTGAATATTTGAGACAGTATTTCTGGATTATAAAAACCTAGATGCAAAATCTATGCTATATTTCCCTAACATAAATTCTAAGAAGTAGAAACGTTGGTTCAAAGGTATATATGTCTGGTTATTTTATTAGGCATTTCTTTACTTAGGAGGAAGTTGGGATATATTTTATGTGGGTGTTACTCATTTGTCTGGGCACACACGCATACAGCAAACATTGATTCTGTGCTAGAAGACAGTGGTAAACCAAGCAGAGCTAACAACTTTTCCTAGAAACTATTCATATTCTTTACCCATTTATATTAAAATTTTAAGTCTTCAATTCTTTTTCAAGTATGTGGGTTTGGGACTTGTGATGCTTTGTTTACTTTTTTCCACTGGTTGCTCGGGTACTGTGTTTTGTACACCAACTGTGTTTCTGAGCCCCCCACCCCAGGCAATGTCTAGGTTTCTGAAACCAACTGAGAAAGCTAAGGGAATCAGCAGTCCAGTTTCTAGACTTGTAACTTTTAGACTACACCACCATGAAGTGAAAAGTCTCTATATCTGACACCCTTTTTTGTTTCTGTCAACTTTTTCAAGGCTACAAATTCAGAACTGAAAGCCTAAAAAAGGTGGCAGGGGATGGTTAACAGAACTAGCTATGGGTGATCAACAGCCACATCAAAACCCCTGGGAAATATGCAGAGAAGGATTAAATGAATGAACGGGCAGAGGACAAAATACTAGTTTAACAGCATCCATAAGCATTTCACTTCCGTAACTTCTTAAAGTACGCTGGTATAACTTTTCCATTTGGAATCCTGAAAAAGCTTGTTAATAGAATCAAGAAAATCTGACGTTGGTAAATTGCTTAACATATCCAAGAGAATTACTGCCTGGCTCTGCACTTGGTTTTTTCTTTTTTTTTTTTTTTTTTTATCAGTACCAAGCACACCATTGCACACAGTTTTCTTGTAGTAAATATGAAATACCTTATCAAACAAAAAAATCTTTCTATTTACATTAATAACATGTACAAGGAAATAACTTTTTTTTTTTTTTTTTTTTTTTTATCAGTACCAAGCACACCATTGCACACAGTTTTCTTGTAGTAAATATGAAATACCTTATCAAACAAAAAAATCTTTCTATTTACATTAATAACATGTACAAGGAAATAACATCTGGTTTCTTCACAAACTTTAGCTATGCACCTAGAATCACTGCCGAATGTTCAAGGGTCTGTGAGGTCACCAATTATTAAATCCAAATTAAAAAGCTGGCTTCCAGGGTTTCCCTGGTGGCGCAGTGGTTAAGAATCTACCTGCCAATGCAGGGGACACGGGTTCGAGCCCTGGTCCAGGAAGATCCCACATGCTGCGGAGCAGCTAAGCCTGTGCACCACAACTACTGAGCCTGCACTCTCGAGCCCGCAAGCCACAACTACTGAGCCTGCAAGTCACAACAACTGGAGCCTGCATGCCTAGAGTCCGTGCTCCTCAACAAGAGAAGCCACCGCAGTGAGAAGCCCACGCACCGCAACGAAGAGTAGCCCCTGCTAGCCGCAACTAGAGAAAGCCCGCACGCAGCAACAAAGACCCAACGCAGCCAAAAATAAATAAAAATAAAATAAATTTATTAAAAAAAAAAAAAGCTGGCTTCCAGTAATGTGATTCAATTACTTAATTATTAAGCATGTCTAAGACATGATAGTGAGTGTTTAAGGGACCACAGTAAGAGGAAGATAGGCACTTTACACTCGACGAGCTTCTGGTTTATAATGGATGAGATGAGATGTAAAAGAACATAAACAACACAGCATCAAGTAAAATGCCCTAACATGACAGAAAGATGTACAGGCAACATATCATGGAGGGACAAAGAATATGCACACAGAAAAATACAGTAAAACGCTTTATGAAAAAAGTTGAGAGGATTTTAAGGGGAGACAGGAGTTGGAGAGGGTGAAATGGAGGCAGGAAAAGCTCCAGGCAGTTGTTACACCAGAGACAAAGGCAAGAAGGGAGGAAGTTAGGGGAAAGCATTTCATTATAGAAAGAATTTCTATATAAGGGAGACTCATAGGGCTCATATTGTGCAAGGAGCCTTACAAAAAAGGCTGGACAGGCTCCAATGTAGTGGGCAGTGGGGAAACTTTAAATTTTGGTGGCAGAGTGGACACAGAGTAAAGCCAGACTTTGAGAACAGGACCCTGGTGGCAAGGTGCAAAATGAAATACACAGGGAAAAGAAGCCAGGGGTTGGGGAAATTCATTTAATACCCTAGGCAAAAGGGTGTGAGGACCTGAACACATGTGGAGGATAAAAAAAAAAAAAAGTTAAAAGGAGATGAGTTCTCCTGCTGGAATATACTTGAGAAACCCCAAGGATGAATCAAAGGTGATGTCAAGGTTTTGAGTCTGAGGCAGGGATTAACAGACATTTTCTAAAAAGAGCCAGAGAGTAAATTACTTCAGGCTTTGGTGATCACAGGTCTCTGTTGTAACTGCTTAACTCTGCCACCTTAGAGCAAAAGCAGATAGACACAATACTTAAACAAATGGGTACATCTCTGTTCCAATAAAACTTTTTTAAAAACAAGCAGCATGTCAGATTTGGCCCAAAGGCCAGAGACTACCGATCCCTAGTCTAAGAAGATAAAAGAAAAGTCGTGCCACTAGCTGTCAGCAGAAGCTGAGTACTGGGATAGAAGGAAATTCCAAGAGGACACACCAAATCTGAGGTTCTGCTAATGCCCATCAAGTCTCTGAATGCAGTTCAGCTGGCTGGCAATAGAGCTGGGGGTAGATTTTTGAAATGAATTCCAAAGTGATGGTTGATGACAGTGGATGCAACAATCCCTAAAGGTGTGGAGAGAATCCTTATTGAGTACAAAACTGTAAGGTTCTTTAGCAATGTAGAAGCATTCCCATAGGCTAAAAAATATTAGTGTCAAAAACAAAACAAGGTAATATCACCACCAACAATACTATAACAGCAATAATAATCATGATTAGCATTTATATGTACTTCATCAAGGTCACCATTAATATAGTTAGTTGTATAACATATTTGAAAACAGTATAGCCAATATACAACAACCCAGGGAAAGCGTTCTGCTGACTTTATCAACACTAGACCAGGTCATGAAAGAACAGTCCAAGGCTGATCTTAGGGAGTAAGTAGAACACCAGAAAATTAAGAGGAAATTTCAAAATAGAGATGTTTAAATAACTTATTTAAAATATTATTTCATGGGCTTCCCTGGTGGCGCAGTGGTTCAGAATCCGCCTGCCAATGCAGGGGACACGGGTTCGTGCCCCGGTCCGGGAAGATCCCACATGCCGCGGAGCGGCTGGGCCCGTGAGCCATGGCCGCTGAGGCTGCGCATCCGGAGCCTGTGCTCTGCAACGGGAGAGGCCACAGCAGTGAGAGGCCCACGTACCGCAAAAAATAAATAAATAAAAAAATAAAATATTATTTCATGCTTTTATTGAATTTGGCTTTAA